TTTCTTCTCTTACGAATTGCAGTTGTTAGTGCCCTATCCAGACAGCTCCATGGAGATTTTTTGGATATTCTACTTTCAACCATTTCTCTATGAGAAGAAGCCTGCATTCAGGAGATGAATTTGATTTTCTCCAGTTTTTTGCTGTTCCTTTGTATGACTTCTCATTTCTTTTAGTTTAGGATTTTCTGTAGGCTGCTCTTTCTGCAGCCTAATAAGTAAAGTATGTTGCAGGTCAGGGAAATGAGATTTTGAAAGAAATCTTTGATGAAAGCTTTCTGAGGAGCTGTCTGTGTATCTGCAGGAGAAAAAGTGACCATGTACCCTCAGAGCTGCAGAAGCAATCAGTCTCCTGCTCAAGTTCCTCTTGGTCTGTATAGTCTGGAGTGCTGTGGCAAGCTTCACTCCTGTGTAGACAGAGGTGGGAAGATGAGACAGTGCTCTCCTACATAGGTTTGTGTCCTCTCACTGCTGGGCATTACTGGTGTCTTCTCCAAATGTGTTGTCAATCTGTTCTTAAAGAGTGTGGGTTGGTTAGAGTTTTTTCAAGATCTACTGTCCAACTTGAATTATCAACAGTTTTGAGTAGACTCAGTAGAACTCGGGGCGCAGAGGGTAGTCTTAGCACTTTTGGATGTGTAAATGAAGGGCTTACTAAAAATGATAGCAAAAATGCTAGTTTTGTCTTGAATCAAGACTGTATTTTTTCCTCCAGAAGATGGAACTAAATCAGGGAGTCAGAGAGCTTGTGTTCCTCTGCTGTCAGCAGTAACTTGAAACCTGCTGGCAAAATGTGTATTTTATGTGCTGCTGGGGCATATGAAGACAACTGCCTACTACCACTGTTGCTAATGGCTCAAGTGATGGGTGTTTGTGTTACAAGTGTTTTAAAAGTCTGAAATATACTGTCAAAATTTCCAGGCAATAGTATACCATTCCTCTTCTGCCTTGAATCATGGGAAAATCAGTGTGTAGCCTTGAATTTCAAAACAGACTAATACATTGTGCCAGAGGTAGAACTGACATATCTGCTTTCTTTAAATTGAAATTTTGTATTTTGTTAGCAACTAATATAAAGATATGAAAGTATGTATGTATTAATTTTAATCCACATTGTCTGTGCTTAAGCATTCATTTTAAGTACATTTGTATTTGTAAGTTTGGAGCCTTCCTGTAATTTCATGGTATTCCAGGTATTTTGTGTTTAAGATAGTCTGCAGTGGAAGCAAATGCTTATTTAGATTGGTGTGTACTGGCTGCAGCACAGCTGTAATACCCTAAATAACAAATACTGATGTGGTAACTTCTGCACAGAAAGAGGTAGTTGTGAAAAATCTTCAGAAATTCTGCTAACTTGTGGATGTATACAGGAAACTAAAGTAAATATGAACGCAGATGTTGGGAAATGCAAGTTTTGGATAAATTTTAGATGAGTGTTACTAAAGTATGTATTAAATCAGTGCTGACTGGCCTCTGTTGTTGCAACTTCTATTTTAACACTGTGAGTTCATGATACATAACTTAGTCCTGACTGATTATGGTTTAAATCAGCATAAAGGCACCTAAGTGTGATTGGTCTCTTCAGAAGTGAGAAATTGAACACTTGCTAGTCACTTTATGCAATTTTGTTCTTTAATATTTAGGGAGACTTTTCAGATAATATCCCTGTTTCCATTATAATAAGAGATCATAAAGCTGTACAAGTTGGAATTCATAACTGCAAACTGCATATTCAGCCAGCTAATTTTAACATGATGCACATGGGTCTTTGAAAATGAAATTATGGCCTTGAACTGCGCTTTCTGTGAGTAAAAAATGTAATATTGCAAAATGTATAATCTCTGAGTGGTGAGGGAAATGACTTGTGAAGAAATGCTTACTAAACTCAACATATTTAGCTGAGATAGCAAGGAGACTACAATATGCACTTCAATGGTATTTTGTGGCAGTAGCTGAAAGCATATGCAGACAGTTTGGAATGCATTCCTTAGATATGAATTAGAAATAAGATTAGGATAAGTTTTGATTAGATAATAGAAAGGCACTCATCCAGTGCTTGCAGAGTGTTTGATTTTGGTGTTAAGCTAGGTTGTTGGTCTGCAGAGTGCAACATTTGAGTACTTTGGAGAGCTGTCTGGCTTTGTAGCTGGAGTCTGGCTGCAGAGTATTCAGCAGTCAGTGTACTCATGGTCTGCTGGAAGAGAGTCAGTGCCTTGAATCTCTTTACCATGGATCTCCACTGTCACCCTCACATCTGATACAAAAGCAGCAGCAGGGCTTGCAGAGTGAATAACAGACAATGCCTTTTGAATATTTCAAAAGCATGATGTAATTATTACATTTTAATTATTTTTTGATACTGTAGTGCTGCTAAACCGGTGTTTGGTGGGATTTGTGAGAATGAGTTGTGGGATGGTGTTGAGGAGAGCACAGTCTTCTCTAATTTCTTGTTCCTCAGTAAGATCAGGTCAGCTGATGTGTTCTGATTAGCCTATGGTGGACTCTGTTGTGAAGAAACCTTGAAAGTGCTGGGATCCCTGCCTTGGTGAGCTGTAAAACTTTACAGCCCCATACAGTCACCCACAGTTTCTTATCATGTGCCCCCAAGCTCTGCCCTTCATCTGCTCCGTACTAGGGTGGGGCAGAAATGCTCTTGGCTCTTCAGGGGAAGGGGAAGCAGAGGAGCCTTTCACAGCAGGTTATTCTGTGTGTAATGTAGAAAAATGAGAGTTTTTAAAAGGCAAATAGAATAGCTTGTAATAGATGCTTTCTTTTAAATCTTGTTTAAGAGATGGGGAGGTATGTGGCTGGGTACAACATAGTAGATTTTACTCTTAGCTCTCAGCACCCTATGGATTGAACTTCAGACAGAAAATGGACTGTAGTATCTGTCAGTGAGCAGAAATAGGGTATGGACAACAACTGACATGTACACAGTCAGTCAGATCTATCTGTATGTCCATAGTGCCTCCAAGGGCAGGATATGATTGTGTGTTAGTGACATGTTCAGCAATTCCCTAGGATGTGTGTAATGTGTGAAGGAGCAGCATCAGGGAAACAGCAGGGAACAGCATTGAGACGTAAAGCAGGCTGGTGGATGGGTGGAATGGTCAGTACAGAAAGAATGTAGAGCAGAATGTATTTGGAGATAATGTCCCTCCTGCTGAGATGTGTTCCACATCTTTGAGCTTTATTTTAATACATCTCTCAAGTTGCATGCAACATAATTACTCTTCACTTAAAGTTATTTCTATAGTATTAGGAAAGACAGCATTTGTACAGCTCTCTTGGCATTTAACAATGCACTTCTTTTCCCCTAAAAAGAAATTTAAAATATTTAGGCCACTGTAGTTTCTTTGAATATGATTCATTTTGGCCATGGGAGGAGAATGACAGTTATTTGCTACACAAACCTTTCCTGTGATTCATGGAGTGTCCTTTGTGTCAGCCTTGAAGGAGGCATTTCATATGCTTCCTAGCAGGAAGGAAAAATAGTGTGATCGTAGTTACCAGATAGGACATGGAAACTGGGTGGGAGGGAAGGGAAAGGGGAGAGGGAAATGCTGATTATTTAGAAGACAGTTGCAGGAATGCTGAGATTCTGTCTGCAGTATCCATTCATCTGCCTAATGAAAAATGGATACATACCCAGCCTATATGTAATTAAAGGAAATGTCACGTCTGCAATTGTCATGTTCACAAAATAGCATAGCTTATTATGTAACTTCTTTTGTGTATCTTAGCACTTTTCCTTTGTCTCCTTGATCCATCACTGTTTCAATATGGTGTGATGTTTCTGAGTGATGTGTTTCAGATTTTGCTCCCAAACTGATGGCCATATACAATTGTGTCAGCTTTCTCTAGAGATAGGTTTTTATGTTCTAACATAATAATATAGTTAGCAACTTAAGCAATGTGCCAGCTTGCCAGATCAGAGACATTTTCCTTTTTTCTCAAAAAAAAAATAAATTTAAAAAGTGGTACTACAATTTTCTTCCTAAAAGTAGCAGCACAGATTGGCAACTTAAGTGCTTTTAAAGAATGCTCCATCAAATGACAGCCCCTAATGCTGCATGGCAGACTTTGGGTCTCTTTCTCAGAGTCTAGCTGCTTCCAGCTGCTTTCTCTATACCTGGAAACTGCAGGATAGTAATAAATGGGAGGAGCAGAAGTGGAAACATAGGTTTCCTAACTTCCTGGTTTCCTGCATGGATTCAGGGCTTGTGGCTGGCTGTCCTCCTGCAGTTGGCAGCATTTGGTGTGGTACATGCAGCTGTGTCAGGAATATACAGCTGTGGCTTCAGCCTTGTAGCATCTGCACAGGGTCCTTATCTAAGCAGATGCACAACAACGTTAGAATGGGAAAGCAGAGTTGTAGAGATGAAAGGAGTGGAATTAGGAGGAGTGCAGAAGAGAATAAAAGTAGATATTAATTACTAATCACATGACCTGTGTTAATTGATTTTCCCTAGCAATTAGAATTTTACTGCTTGAATCACAAATGCTGTCCATTCTTCCATTATTTCCTGTGTTATAAAATGCTAGCTTTGTTTTGATTTTCCTGTAGTTGTGTTTATTGGGGATAAGAGGTCTAATTACAGCTGTGAACTATACTGTACTGAGAGGGCATTTAAGTTTCTTCTGACTATTTCTGAGGCAATGTGATGAGTCATGAAACACAACTTTTGCAGAAAATATCCTGATTGCCTAATGACTAGGTGTTGGTAGATGAAATTACACATACTCTCTCTTGCTCACATGAAACCAGGGAAGTGTCTTTCTGAGTAAGCTGTTTGTTCAAGTTACCCAAGAAATGTCAAAGATTACAGTTGCAAAATGAGAAAAAAGTGTATGTATGAATAGCTTGAAAACACCTGCTGAAACTTACAAATGCATTTGATATTCACGGCATGAATACTTGTAAATAAAACATTTGTGAAATAAAAATGCTGCCTAAAAATAATACAATTGGTCACCAATGTTCCATGTATTTTATTTTGCAGATGATGAAGAAGATATTAACAATATGGAAGAAGTCATGTTAGACTATGCTAGAATGGACAGAGAACTGAATCATTATATAAAAGCATTTGAAGAAACCATAAATCAGGTAAATGATCTCTTTTCATTGAGTTATTAAAATATACCCTTATTTAAATATTATCTTTTAAAAGAAACAAACGTTACATTTAAACAATACTCAATTGGAAAGACAGCTCTGTGGCAGGTATAAAATACTGAAGCTGCCAGTACAACTCTTAACTTTTTTACCCAGCTTCCTACAGGGTGGCAGAGTTTTTAACTTCTCCCCACCGAACCCGCAGCGTTAGGAATATGGGTAGTGCTTTGGGAAGGATTGAGGGCACTGTAGTTAAGAAACCCTACTCTCAAGTGATACCACCTTTGTATTGTGGAAGATGCAAGTGCGGCAGTTGAATTGAAGAACAAACTGATGGCTGCAGAGAACCGAGGTTTTAAAGCCTGCTTCCCACTGCCTTCCTGCCACCTGACTTGGCTGCTGCGTGCAAAGGGTGAGCTGGCGGATTGCTCGCTCTGTGAACCAGGGCCTGGCTCTGCCTCTGGACAAAGGACGGACAAAGGACGGACAAACTCCGGGCGCGGCGGCGGCACTGCCAATGGCCGCCAGGGGGCACCGCGCCCGCGCGCTGCCCGTCCCGCGCTCGGGCCGGGCTCGGCGCGTTCCCGTCCCGCGCTCGGCGCGTTCTCGGCGCGTTCCCGTCCCGCGCTCGGCGCGTTCTCGGCGCGTTCCCGTCCCGCGCTCGGCGCGTTCCCGGCCCGGCGGGAGCGCGCGGCGGCTCCGCGGCGGAGCCGGGCCGGGAAGGGGCAGCTCCAGGGCGGCCGAGCCCCGGTTTCAGGGCACGTCGATGCCGGGAGAACGCAGCTCCCTGAGTAGTGTGTGTCTGCACAGAGACTTCTCGGTGTCGGTTTTCTATGGGTTTCTCCAGAAAAGGCACTAGCACATCCCTGATTTCCCTTCAAGGTGGGAAGCCTGTGTTTCAAAATGTTAAGGTAGTGGAGCTTTTCAATGAAACCCGCCTTGCTATTATCTTGCTATTGCTTTTTGTTCTTTTAAATGCAGTAAAAGGAGAGCAAAACAATGCATTTCCCACTAGTTCTGTTGAGAGGCCTACATGGTTTTTCTCTTTTAGAAAGGTTTTCCTTTAATTTTTTAAAAATTATCTGATTAGATGCTTAACTGAAAAAATCTTCATTCAGATAATTAAATATATGTGTTTAAAAGGAGTTCAAAACGATGTCTACATCAGGAAGTGTTGGACAGCAGTAAATACAGGCACTGTTCCCCATGCAGCCTTTAAATATACATTTCACTTCAGATGTCATCATAATTGCAAATCTCCTAGTTTATATTGGATGGGTCAGAACTTTTTCCTTTTATTTGGACTATTCATGATTTTTTAAGCTTTCCTGGTAAATTGTAACACAGTCCTCACTGTTAGAGACTAATGATATGTATCCAGACTTGAGCAAAACACAGTTTGTTTATATTTTGATTATAAACCAATTAATAATTGATGTGTTATTGTTCTAACAGGAATTTCAAGTAATTTGAAACTGACTTTTTAACTTCTTTCATTATTTCCATTTATCAGCATTTTTTTCAAGTTTAGAACTATAAAGAGCAAGTCTGTGCCTTCACCACCAAAACACTCAAGTCCTGTTTACTTCACATGTATCAGTCATGATATTTTAAGTGGAGCACAGGTGCAGCTGCTTCACTGAAGTGAAGGTATTTTTGTTGGTTTCAACAGAGCAGTGATACATTTGTGATTTTTAGGATTGAATTCAGCATTATCTGTGGTGTGCATATCTGTACTGTTGTGCAAAAAAATACGACTGGAAGGGTCAGTTTTCCTTTCCCCCTCTTTTTTTTTCTCTAATGCAGCTTCTTTGTGTCATTAAAACAAGCTCATTTCCTGTTATTTCACTCCTAAGGTGTTAAAAATGCAGGTCTAAGATATTTAACATGTTTTAGAGTCTACATGGATTATAAATTTGGTAATGGCTAATCTGTTAGCCTCTAGCCACACTTCTCCTGTCTCTGCTTCCTACTTCACTCTAGGGAATTGTTTGTCCTTTTCCCTGCCAGCATCCAGAACAAACCTCTGTGAGTATGAAAAAGAAACGTATATAACTTCTGCTGTAGAACAATCTGTTCTCTGAAAAATAACAGCTCATACTTTATTTTGGAGACTAGCTGCATGCCATGCCTCTGGAGCTGCACTGCCCATCTCCAGTTACCTGTCAGAGACAGCTTAAAATCTGCTTCTGGGAAACAGATACTGTTGCTGAATTTAGGGCTGCACCTGGAGGTAGCTGTAGAATAGCTTGGGTTTAAAATAGCCTCCACTTGCTTGCTCCCTGGTTCCATCTGAATTCCTTACCTGAGGGCTTTCTCTGGGGGTGCAGCAGGTCATTAATTTTTCACAAGCAGACTGTTCTTCATAGGCAGGATTTGTCTCCAGCTGTAAAACACATTTTATCTGATTATTTTATAAGTTTGTATGCTGATGATTTTTCTGGTCTGTAGTTTCCTCATACAGCAGTGAATCTGAAAGTATATTATAGTCTGTGTTTCGCCTTCTAACCAGCTGCTTCTAGTGAAATGTCCAACTGGAATTTAGCAAGATAAGAGACAGCAGCAGTTAAAATTCCTGATATTTTATTATGTGTATCTTTAAATGGCATTGACAAAAAGGTGTTATTGTACAACCAGAGGATTGTAATGTAAATAACTTGAAACTAGCATGAGCTATAGTCACATGTTTTCTCAAAGCCAGTTTTTATGTTGATTTAGGCTGCAGTAGGTGGAATGCAGAAGGTGAGACGTACCAGCATCCTCTTCTGGTTGAATCAGCAGCCTGTTGAGCAAGAAGTGAGCAGTTGAATCACAGTGTTTCCAACAATAGGCTGTGGGAAATCCTTTGTCTGTGGAAACTCCCTGTGCCACTAGATTTTCTTGTACCTGTGTAATGACTGGACTACTGTTGCTGCTTCTTCTTTCATTTTTAATGGGTATTTTTAAAGAAGTTAGCCATTATTCAGGTCCTTACCATGCAAAGTCCAGACAACACTCTTTTTTTTAGTGTAACAACGAAAGACTGATGGAGCCTGCAGTATCTCTTGCAGAATTTTTTTATACTCTTGAAATGGACCCAGATAATTGGAACCCAGACTCAAGTGTTCCCTACTCTGACAGAGTTCTCAAGTGACCAGAATGTCAGCATGTTGTGTTGTCCTAAATACAGATTCTTTCACTCAGTGTGCAGGAAGACAATCCACATGCAGAGTCAAGGTATTTGATTTTATTTCATGTCCATGTCATGCACAGAACAGGTTCTAGGTGGTGAGTCCATAAAGCTAGCATGTCTTCAAAATGCCAGCTGCTCATTTTTATACACTGAGAACAATAAAAAATTGGCATTTCCTATATATGTAACAATCTAACTGTGTAGTCACTGGCTTTGAATTCTCTTGTCTGCATGTAAAGACCCAGTGCACATTTGTTTTACTGTGCATGCTCTCTGAGGAAGTGGCTTATGTGAGCAGGGCATGGTTGTACCCTACAAACAGGTGTTACACTGAATTTACTTAATAAGCCCAAGGTTCAAGCCAAGTTGTACTTGGCATTGTAGTTTGATTTATTATGTCCTCCTGTTCTTGCTTCTTGGGTCATGGCTCTTGGTTTCTGCAGGTTTAGTTTTCCTGTCCTGTCATTTTAACAGTTGTCCTGCTCCCTCACTTCTGCTCCACTCTCTGGCTTAGCAGGGCTGCTGGTGGTGGACTGACCACTGTCAGCTTTTCAAGCATTTGGTTTCTCTGGGACTGTAAAAGCTGGGGTAAATTTTCTGAAGTCCCCAGACTTCTCTAGGTAAAATGAATTACAGTGTATTATAGGTCAAACTAGAGAACAAGGAAGGCAAAACTAACTTCTAAAGTCACATTATTCCCACCTCTATTTTCATCTCCTTCAGGGAAAGAGAACCTGGGCTATTTTGTTTTGTTTGCAGGTGACAGGAAATTGTTAATGTGGTAATGGCATCTCTGGCAAGGATTGCTTAGTGCTTCCTTTTGCAAGTTACTTCTTTGCCAAACATCACTTCGTCTGCCTTTTTCTAAACCTGAGCACTGTGACAGAATCAAATCCAAACCTTAGGAAGGTAGAAGAAACACAGAGGAGAGATATTTAAGAAAAAAAAAAAAAACAAGAGAAGGAAGCATTCAAAGTGAGGAGAGGCAGATGAAAAGGTAAAGGACATGGGCTTGGAAAGTCTTGAGATCATGTAGACATATGGGGAAGAGACTGGTTGAAAGAGTGCAAGGAAGGAGGTGGTGTTGAGCTGAAGAGAAGATGGAAATACTAGATGTTGCATTGGTGCTTGGGTTTTATCTCTACTTCTGCTAGAGCTTTCCCACATTGTTCTTGGTGAATCATATCTATCACTGTCAGTGGCTGCTGACATCTTTGTTTTCTGATTATCCTACATGGAGACTGATTTGAGCAATTGTAATTGTGATTTAATTCAAAGTTAATTATAGTTTAAATCCTGGAAGTGAAATTAAAATGTTCTTTGTTGGGTTTTATCTGCAAAACTACTGCATACTACTGATGTACATGTATGTCTTCTGGATGTGTTGGTCATTTATGCCTGTGTGACTTCACACTTTGTCAAGTGTTCATTCTTCCTTTGCAAAGGTGAGGGGTGCACCAAGAGTGATTTTGTCTCTACAGTATATATAGGAACTATTCTTAAAATTGTTTTGTATTTTTGATAATGGTTCTTCCCTTTAGACTGGGAAGGTCCTTGGAGCGTGAATTATAGGGGATGTTTGTTCAATGGGTCAGTAATTTAGAGCAGATTGCTTAGCACTGGGGTCTATAATCTTAGTGGCAAACTGTGTAGGTTGTAATCCTGCAGAGGGATAATTCCCTTCAGTGATGTAGGTTGTATTCCAAGTGGGCAGCTTGTGAGTGATCTAAAAGCCTCTACAGAAAAGTAAAGAATCCTGTTTTAAAACTACTTTACAGTTAAATTCATGGTCTCTGATTTGCAACCTGTGTAACAGAAT